TGTCTTTTCCCCGCCTTTTGACTCCCCGGCATCTACCAAAAAAAAAAAAAAAAGAATGTTTTGGTTGGGTCAACCCTTTAGCTGTTGAATGATCTTCAGCATTTGATAAGCTTGTATGTAATTGTTCATGTTGTATATTATCTAGGCATCTGTACAGCGACCACCACCACCTGGATGACAAAACCACAGTGCAGTGCCTCATACAACATGAGGTGGTCCACAATCTAGAGGAAAAGGTGAGGAGGAACATTCTTGATACCTAATAGGAGATGGGTGCTACAATTTGGTGGGATATATCAGTCGGATGAAGGTCGGCCGACTCATTGTGAGACGTTACAGTAAAACACAAGCCTGGGGGAATATGGCCGGCTGCCCCATGGACGTATATAATTGAAATATTTACATAGAAACTGGAGGCAATTATAATGGAGGCTGTTATTCAAAAAGCCCAAAGAAATTGTTACATTATCCACCCGTTATACACTATCAGGTGTACAAACTTATATTATAATATATACAATTCTATATTATGTATCAATCAATGAAAATGGGCAGGAAAGATGTACAATGTCAATAAATGACTCTGTGTTATTCCAGCTTGCCATGGAGAAGCAGAGACTCCATGAGATGCAGAGCTTCATGACGGGAAAACATGGCACAGCTCATCTTTCTGTAAGTATTTTGGATATCTTGTAGTGTGTCCACCATCAAGAAAGTTGTCTAAGAGAAGAACGGCCCATAGGGACCAATACCATTCTCCCTTTTATGTTTCCATTGCATGAAAGAACCATCAAGGAAAGTTTCTAAGAGAAGAACCTCCCATAGGGACCAATACCATTCTCCCTTTTATGTTTCCATTGCATGAAAGAACCATCAAGGAAGGTTTCTAAGAGAAGAGCTTTCCATAGGGACCATTACTATTCTTCATTTGATGTTGCCATTGCAAGAAAATACTACCAAGAAAGGTTTCCAATAGAAGAACGTCCTACATTGACCAATACCATTCTCCCTTTTATGTTTCCATTGCATGAAAGAACCATCAAGGAAGGTTTCTAAGAGAAGAACTTCCTATAGGGACCATTACTATCCTTCATTGTATGTTGCCATTGCCTGAAAATACTGCCAAGTTTCTAACAGAAGAACCAATTATATTATTCCTTTTATGTTTCCATTGCATGAAAGAAACACCAAGGAAGGTTTCTAAGAGAAGAACTTCCCATAGGGGCCATTACTATTCTTCATTGTATGTTGCCACTGCATGGAAATACTACCAAGTTTCTAAGAGAAGAGCTTTCCATAGGGACCAATGACATTCTCTCTTTTATGTTTCCATTGCATGAAAGAACCATCAAGGAAGGTTTCTAAGAGAAGAACTTCCCATAGGGACCATTACCATTCTCCCTTTTATGTTTCCATTGCATTAAAATACTACCAAGGAGGGTTTCTAATAGAAGAACTTCCTATATTGACCAATACCATTCTCCCTTTTATGTTTCCATTGTATGAAAGATCCATCAAGGAAGGTTTCTAAGAGAAGAACCTCCCATAAGCACCAATACTCTTCTACCTTTTATGTTTCCACTGCATGAAGGAAAGGATCTCATTACTCCCTATGCAAAAGCCCCCCAGTTCTTTCAAACAACTTACTTCAGGGAAGTTGCATGGAAGCTTCTACTGTAGACCTCTCCTTCTGACAATACTAGTTCCCTGGTCATAATGCTGATCCAATGCCTTCAGCATTTGGAGTCACCAACCTGGAACCAGTAAGCAGGTTAGGAGTTGCCACTTCACTCTGACTTTCCTGATTCTACATGTTTGCTCTGGGACAGTGTTTCAGAAAGTACTGAAGCCAAAGGCAGCCAAGTGACTAGCATTTTTCCTCAGTAGCTCAAAAAGGAAGGCCTTCGTACACTATATGGCCAAAGGTTTGTGGAAAACTGACCATCACACCTGTTATGAGCTCGTTGGACATCTAAATCCAGAAGTACTGTTATTAATATGCAATTGCCCCACCTTCCAACCTCATTG